AGCCTGCGTCTCTGGGACGTGGTCCACACTGACTTGTCCTGTCACAGCCCCACCGGATTGTTTAGCTGCCCTCAGGCTCCCCTCGAGTTTGATTTAATCTTTCTTGAAAGGCAAAAACTGCACTTTACCACATTTAATTGCCAACATCAGAAAATAGCAATTCTGGATTTCTGTTATTTATTTTCTAAAAACAGAAAAGACTTTAAAGAAATACTTCAAAGATACACAATTTAGAGAAATCTTTAAAAAATAAAAGTAAGCAGGGAAGAACAGAAGGTAACACAGAAAAGCAATGTTACTGAGGAAATGAAATAGAACTTAAACAGCTTCTACTATTTTAATTAATCTAGTATTATTAATATATTGTTATTAATCCTAAAATATGTCTAAATGTGTCCATTGTGCAGAAATTTAAAATAAAGTATCACCTTATTTTGAAATTTTTAATCAATAAAATTTACAAAAGGAGTGATTTTTTTTTAAATCCAGAGTCCTATTTGTACATCCCATCTACACTGACAAAAATAAAAAATGTACCAAGACTGCCAGACTGCTGGGAAATAACAAAAGGAACATCCAGCAAAGAAGAAAGTGACCAGTGGCCCAGGAACAGATAATAAACGTAAAGCGAAGGCAAAGAGCAAAGAGTGGCTGAAGAACAGAAAGGACAGTACTGAAAGCAGGGACAAAGGGTACAGCTGACAGCAGTCAGTTCAAAAAAGGTGTATACGGCTTTGACATTTGAATCCTTAAATACTTCTACACGACTCACTGTTTCAGCCAACCAATTAGAGATAATGTAAAAAATTTCTTACTGCTATACCTCCATAAAACAAATACTTCTTGCATCTATATATTGATACATAGAGAATAAAATAATTGATAGAACCAATAATTGTAGTTGGCTCTTAACAGAAAGAAACAGCAAAATATTAACACCTTACACCAAGCCCTAGAAACATATTTCAAAACACATAATCTAGAATTTCAACATGAATTTTACATTGTTTTTCAGATATAAGTTAGTGAAATTAAGTTAGTAAATATTTATTGAATGCCTATTATGGGGCAGGCATTATTATAAGCGTTTAAGGTGTAGCAGTAAACACAATATTCTCAAGGAGCTTCCATTCTAGTGAGAGAAATAGACAAGATACGGCATGTTTAAGTGCACCAAAAGAAATAGAGGATTATGTTATGAAAATGAAAATGTTTATAACGATTACTTCATCTGTAGCATAGAGTACAAATTAAAAACAATTCTCTGAGTTTTATTGTCTAGAACATTCTACAATTCAAGAGTTTTCAAAGATTAAACATTCAGATTCCCTCAATTATTTCTTCAGTTGAAACCAAAATTAATAACTAACAAATTTTCTAATCTTTTTACTTCTCTTGAAAATGCTCCCTAAATGTTGCATTATAAATATTTAATATGTGCATTTAATATTTGCACACTGTATTTGTCAGTTTGAGACATTAGACGTTGAGCTATCAGAGGACAGAAACCTTTTTTTCCCTCTTTTTCTTTGTGAATTCAGCACCTGCAATGTTTAGAAGGAAGTACAATCTTGAATTACAAAATTTATTATAAAGTAATTTCAATTTAATAGTGTCAAAGAAGCTGCTTCTAACTTAACCATAACTGAAAAATTATTAAGTCTCGTTCAAATACTTCAAAGTTATATTTTAGAATGTTTTGATTAATTAGAAATGGATAAATATCAATGTTGTACTTAAGTGTTACTTTTCAGACAGTCACAGCATATAGTCATGGCTCCAAAGTTTAAGAACATCCATCCAAGCTGGATTATTTAAACTTGCAATAAATAGATGTATTTTCTTGGAAAAATATCTATTGTTACAGTAAAATTTGAGTTTCCTTTCTAACATGATTGTATGATTATTCGTTTATATTGTTCTTTCCGCAGGAATTCACACACCCCCTGTTTGCATCCTGTTATTCACTTAGAGCTTCCCTTCACTTCACTATACTGTTTCCCTAACAGTGGCAGAGTGGCTTTAACTGCACACAAAATCCTAACCACTGTCGGCATGCTCCAGGTCTCCTCATTTGCATTTAGTATTTGTTCAAGTCATAAGGATTACCTTGAAAAATTTATTCTCTGTGTCTTCTCAACATATTACATTGTCTCCTAGACCATTACATTGTCTCCTAGACCACTGGTGGTCTCGAGAAGACTTGGGAACTTTTTTACTGATTTCCCTCACCTTCCATCTAACTCTGTTCCTGTACTGAACAACCTAAGAAACTGCTTAGGGTACACACTCCACTGAAACCCAAGCAAACACACTTACAGTCTTCCTAAAAGTTGTACGTTTGAACTGGTCTTACTGAAGGCAAAGAAAACTTTTTTTTTAAAATAATTCAGGGCATAATCAAGGCCAAGTTAAATCACTGCCTCAGACTCATCTTGGATGCTAATGAAAAGACAGATTCCTGGGTTCTACAGAGAACCCAGCATAAGATCAGAATCAGCACAAAAGGGGCATGCCCCAGAATGTGCATTTTAACAAGCTTTCTAGGTTATTCTGATGCACATTAAAGTTTAAAAACCAGTAATGCAAAGGACCTAAAACTGAAGATAATAAAATTGAGGAAGGAATGACGCAAATAGGGTAACAAGATCCTACTGTCAAATACACTGAACCAGAATAAAAAATAAACAAACTCATTAATGAAGAGCTAAGAAAATACTTTTCAACTAGTGAGATCTCCAAAATGAGCCCTGCTAAACTATGACATTCTTTATAAGGTAGACCTTGGAATCTCCTTTACCTGAGGAATTGAACAGGACACACATGTCTAATCAAGAAAAATACATATATATACATAAATTTATACATTAAATATACATATATTAATGTGTGTATATGTGTATGTATGTGTGTGCATATATACACACATATGTACATACATATACACACACTGCCTAGAAAGTAGTAATTACGTTAGTACTTAAATGACACACTCGCTACTGTCTAAGCAGCTTCAGTTCTGCTCCATTACTTCTAAACAGGGAGCAACCTACACATTTTTTTTTTCTCTTTTTAACCTATCTAGCTTGATTTCCTGTTATAGAGGAGCAGGAAATGAAAAGGTAAAATGACTCACGTCAATACATCTTTACCAGAGGCAAGGAACAGTGCCTCCCTGGCTTCTAGACTGTAAACTCTCTAAGGGCAGAGACCACATCTTACCTGTCATGGGACCCCTGACCACAGCATCAAGCAATGAGTACAGCATGTGAATAAACGCTGAGGACCAGGACAGCATTCCATGAAGCTGGGAGTGGCCTCGAGGTTACAATGTACAACAGGGGCTCCCAAACTTCAACATGCATCTAGCCCCACGACCAGAGTTTATGACTCCGTAGGTCTACGGTGGGGTCCAAGATCTGGCATTTCTAACAAGTTCCCAGGTAACACTAATGCTGCCTCTCTGGGGACTACGCTTTGAGAACCACAGATCTGGGGACAAGTCCTCAGGGTTTTGCTGTACATAATTGGTTCCCAGAAAAGGGAAGTAATTGACATATGGTCAGGAAAAACAATATAGGGAATCTGGAAACTTAGGTTCTAGCTCCAGCTCTATCACAACTGACTATACAGCTGATCACACATACCCCCCACCACCAAGTATCACATAACTCATCTCTAAGATGAAAGGTCTGGTATAGATGAAAATTGAAAATTCAAATACTTTTTATATAGATCAGAGAAAATTTAAGTGTCTACTATGAACTTTTAAACAGAAATCTTCCCTGAAATTATTATCCTTAAATCAGTGTATATTGCCCAGAGCACAACCGTTAAACTATATAGCTTTTATCCAAAATAAAGAACATAGAGCAAGCAAACAAATAAAAAGATGCTCAGACTAAACACATCAAACCATCTAAGTATAAACCTAAGGGGAAATAACTGTTTTGCAATAATCTAAACACAAATTACAAATTCAGGTATCTGTAAATGTGTCTAGGGCAGCAGTACCAGCATCATCTGAGAGCTTGTTAAAAATGCAAGATCTCACCACACCTAAACCTACTTCCTCTTAACAAGATCCCTAATGTGATTTGTAAGCACATTAAATTTGAGAAGCACTGAGGTTTTATCATTCATCCTTTACTGCTGTTTGTAAAATAACATGATATGTTTAAAAGACTGAACATTTCCTGAAAAAATCTATTTCTGATGTATAAACAGATAAAACGAGAAAGCAAGGAGTTATTGTACATGAGAAGACACACTGAAACATTCTTTTCAAACAAAATCTTCCATCTAAAGTACTTTATGACTATGAAATACTGTATGATTAAAAGGTAACAAATATCACCTAGATCAAATCTCTAACTTTATAGCTGAGTAAACTGAGGTACTACAGGGATGCTAACTGGTTTGGTTAAAGTCAAATAGTTTGTTGGTGGTACAATGGAGACTGAAATCCAATTTTACTGAAATTCTAATGAAATGCTCTTTCCAGTGCAAAAAAAAAATTTTAATTACATTTCCCTGGAGTAAACATACAGTTAAAGCAGGAGAAGTACACATAATTTTGAAGGATAAATGAAATGACATCAAAACATATTGAAGGAAACCCAGTAAAAAAACATCATAGTAGTTAATGTGTTTTACTCCTTCCATAAAAAAAGGAGAGACTTTAAAAAATTGAATTGGAAGAAGGGGAACTGGAAACTGACGTACTTAATATGAGCGTAACTTCCAAATATAAGACTTTCAGAGAATGACACCACATATCATTTAAGCGGCAGCAGCTGTTTGATGAATGAATTTGGAAAATTGATTTTTTGAAATATTAAAAATTTGGCTTTGCTACTCAAGTTTTACTGTACATCAATAAACAAAACTTTTTCACGTATGGCTAATTTTTGCAGTTTTCAACACAGAAGCAGAAACAGCCATATTCAACTTAAGTATTTTGTAAGCAATTATTGAAAAATTAACCCCTTCTGTCTTACCATCAAAGAAGCTCTTGGCTCTTAGGTAACTGACGCTGAGCCTAAGAACGGACAGTTTGTCCAGCTTATTAATAACATCTTGTGGGAAAGGCAGAAGGCTCGCCAAACGGTCCAACTCTGTATTAAGTCGGTCTCTATGCCGCTTAGAAGGATTTGATTTGATTCCTTCAGCTGGGACTGGCTTGACGCTGAAAAACAAACAAAATGCCATAAAATAATTTAAAATATATAAAGCAAAAATTTCTATTACATTGTAACATCTCCTCAAATATTTCTCTAATAAAACAAACCTCTAAAACCTACTTCAAGTTTACATAAATCCCTTCAAAATGCTCTGTTCATATCTTCATTAAGAAAAACAAGGGAATGGGTAAAATTCTTTATAATGTTTTATTAAAAGCTTATGAACCCATCATAGGAAAATGCTGAGTACATCTTACATACTTCATACTTCATATACTCCATACATTTCTGGTATAGTGATTCCCAATTAAAAATCTACCAGGATTTTTTTTCCCTCAAACACAGCCATTGTTAGGGGAAGAAAAAAATGAAATCTGCAATCAATTATGTGAAAATTATGCTTCCTTTGCTATCTTCCACAAGAAGCATCTTGGCATCATTTATGTTGTAGATAAATAAGAGCTATATCCTAAATAAAAAGCTTATCTCCATCATCCCCAGCTTCCTATATTTAAGACTTTCATCCTGTCAATGACAACTTCTCAGAGCCCTCCTGGTACCTCCAGATACCTGGACCACCCAAGGGGGTCCTCCAATATTAAAACAAGAAAAATATGACCAGTTATTTATACTTGTTGACTGACAAATACTGGAGGTTAACTGTGACTACTGGCAAATTTTGCTTTTATGACTGGTTAGTAATTCTACTTAATTATTAGCTTTCATAGTTTGTATCTGAATTAGAAAATTCAACGCAACTCCAACAATTAGCATGACTTTCATCCGGGAGAAAAGATACTTATGGTTGGGAATAGAACTTGAGTTCAGAAATGAGAAACTGGACTTCACACAAAGGCCTTAGCCAGGATTTCATAGCAGAAACTCATTATTTAAAGTGAATTTATAGATCATTAGACACCCATGCTGAAATATAAATAGAGAAGATATTCAAAAACCAACCAAAGAAATTTTTAGATCATGCCTCTGCACCTTCCGATTTGCCAGAAAAATAAAGAATGATCTGGAGTATTCTTATGACAAAGACATTTTTTCCCCAGTTTTACTGAGAAGACGACAAAGACATTTTTGACAATTCAAATTAAATTATAGTATCTTAAAAAGTAGAAATTGGCTTGAGTATAGTGCTATTAATTTGATTCAATCAAAACATTTCTAGATAATTTGTTTTCAATGTTATATGTGGAAAGGTACTACTTTATGCAAAAAGATGATAAAAAGCAAATATGAAATTTTAACATGTTTTTACACTGTCTCCAACAAGTAATTTCTTCAGAATTTGTCTATTTCTATTTTTTCTATTATAGTTCATATTATTTCTACAAAAAGTAAGAGTAATAAATTGATTGAGTAGCATATATACAAAATAAGTCAGTAAATACTTTCTCCAGACTGTTGGTATAACTGCATACCTAACAGAAACTGGTGACTGTTCCTCTAGCTATTTTCTCCTAATCATATTGCATTTACAATCAAATTCAAGTCACACCTAATGACTCCATTTCTACAATTAATCGACAATTGCAACTTTTACCTATAAGGCGCGTCTACCTCATCAAATAATTCCTTACCTATTAATCACTTGTTAACACAAATATTTTTTTTTTGTGAGGAAGATCGGCCCTGAGCTAACATCTGCCAATCCTCCTCTTTTTTTTTTTTTTTGCTGAGGAAGACTGGCCCTGGGCTAACACCCACGTCCATCTTCCTCCACTTTATATGGGATGCCGCCACAGTTATGGCTTGCCAAGCAGTGCGTCGGTGCACGCCTAGGATCCGAACCGGCGAACCCCGGGCCGCCGCAGTGCAGCGCGCACGCTTAATTGCTTGCGCCACGGGGCTGGCCCCTTGTTAACACAAATATTTATTTGCACCTATCTTGTCCTGGGCACTCCAAGAAAACACCCTTCTAAACATTCAAAAAGTGTCATGGGAGTGAAGTACAGCAAGCAACTGCTTGAAAAAAGATTTTTATACAAAAGGTGTATCTGAGATGGGTCTGGAAAGATGAACAGGATTTCAGGAGGAAGCATGACTGAGGAACGGTGAACTGTGTGAAGAGTGAAGCACAGGGTGCAAGAGAGAGAAGGGGGAAGCTGGATGGGGCCCCATTCTTTTAACAAATACTAACCACCTGCCCCGTGCCAAGCACTGACCACCTAGCCGTGAACAGAACATACTAAAGCTCCTGTTCTCAGGAAGCTTACATGCCGGTGGGAGGATACATAAATAAATACATGAATCAATAAACAAACATATACCTTTTGGGGCTGGTAAGTGTCAAGAAGAAAAATAAAGCAAGATAAGGAACCAAGGAGTGACGGGGGTGCTGGTTTTGATAGCCAGGGAAGGTCTCTCTGATGTGATGTTTCAGCAAAGACATGAATATAATGACGGACTGAGCCATGTGGATGCCTGATGAAAAAATGTTCAAGACAGAGGAAACAGCAAGTTTCCTCACAGAAATGGTACAAAATCGGACTTTGGTATCTGGGAGTCATCTTAAGCTTCCAGCTGGGATTTACATGACCAGTCTTGTGTTTTACTAAGCTGACTCTGGTGATGGAGAGGATGGAATGCAGGGCAGATCTCGCCGAGGCTAGCGCTTCTTTCTAAAATATAAATCCATGTCTCTTCTCTGAGTCAAAGAATCAGAGAAGCTTTCAGTAGCTCTGCACAGTCCACTTTCTTTAGCCTAACAAACAAAATCCTTCTTGATCTTTCTACAGCCCCTAACTATTCCTCTGGCCTCATTTCCTCCAGCTAAAGCCTTCCTTGTCCATTATACTCCAGAGAGAAGAAATTCCTTACAGTTACCAACACGTACTTTGGTGCTTTCATACGTGTTACTCCCCAGAATCTCCCGTTCTGTCTCACCAACTACAAAGCCCTGCTTAATTAGATCACTTTTTTAAAGTCTTCCCTGACCTACTCACAATGGACTCCTCTCATACTACTTCTGTACCTTATGCATCTTACGTAAATGCCTTACACAACCATTCGGTTAAGGAATATTCTGTGCAGATAGCATTTCCCATAAATTGAAAACAAAATCCCCTCTTGCACTCTTGGTAGCTTTCCAGTAATGATTATAAAACAGTGGGGAGAAGAGAGTAACACAAACACTGAAGCAAGACAAGCTGACATGATACGGATAGAAATAACAGTAACAGTACGAGAAAGAAGCTTAAAGGTATTCCTCCATGTGGTACTGCTGCCACTCTTGTGCTGGCTCTGCAGTCTTCAACCCTGCACTAGATGAGACTATTTCTTTACACAATGGAAAACTGTCCACAGCTCTAATGTATTATTATGCACATTATGGAATATTTAGCATGAGATCAAATTTCCTAAGTCAAGTGTTATGTAACCTATATGGCTTATACTTGTTTGTTGCTCTTTTTACTATGTAAACTTAAGCATTTTTGTATCCCCAGTGCTCAGCATAGTACTTGACACAGAGTGGACTCTCGATTAATGTTTGCTGATCAGAAGTGTTCAGAAAAGAAATGACTGGAGCCTGACCAAAGGCAGCGATAGTAAGAATAGGAAGTAAGGCCTGACTTGAGATATTTAAACACAGCATTTGTGCCTATCACAAAGTTTGGTACGTGGCCAGACTCAAATGTTCACTGAACCGAACTGACTTGCTGTCTGACTAGGTATAGGAGGTAAGGGAGAGGAAAATGTTGAGTGAGGAGAGGTTGCAAATAACTGGGGTTTGTAGCTTAGGATAACAATTATATTTCATAATGGAAGGTATACCAAACGAAGAGAAAAGGGACTTGAGGACAGATCACAACGTTTAGGTATAAGGTTGAGAAACAGGTGCAGGCAAAGATGGCAAAAGAGGAATGATAAGACAGACAAGAAAAGAACCAGGGTAGAATATTTTGGAGGCCACAGAACAAAGTCAAATACACAGAGAATTAAGTAAGGGCCCACTGGACTTGGTATTCCAAATCTACAAAAACTAAAGTTATATATTTGACATACTTTTTCACTGATTTTGTGAGAAATACTTAGAATATTTTGTGAAAATATTTCCTACTTATCCATACATATGGAAGATGCACAGAATAATTAAAAATAGAGAGTAATTCTACATTAATTACCCTTGAATTGGGTTATGATAGTATTTTTACTTTTGTACTAACTTTAAATTTATGACAAAATATACTGCCAAAAATTTCTTTAAATAAAAGGCTACACTTGAAATATAAAAATACATCCCTGTAAGATTTGGGAGATCTGGTGTTCAAACATCTCCTGAAATAGAGAGACCATAGCTGTTTATCAAGGCAAAGGAACAATTTATTATTTTTTTAAACCTTAACCTCAAAAATCTTGTCCCGGGGCTGGCCCAGTGGCATAGCGGTTAAGTGCGCATGCTCAGCTTCAGCAGCCCTGGGTTCGCAGGTTCGGATCCCGGGTGCGTACCGACGCACTGCTTGTCAAGCCATGCTGTGGCAGCGTCGCATATAAAGTAGAGGAAGATGGGCATGGATGTTCGCCCTGGGCCAATCTTCCTCGGCAAAAAGAGGAAGGTTGGCATCAGATGTTAGCTCAGGGCTGATCTTCCTCACAAAAAAATATATATATAAAAAAAAAAATCTTGTCCCAACCTGTAAATCAAAATTGTTGTGAAATCAAGACTCTAGCTGACTGCATGCCATGTTGCTGTTTTAGGAGCCCTGCACGCTATAAGTACTGGTGGTAACAGGCCCAACAGCATGCCCAATGCCAGTGTGAATGCTATCTTTAAAGGCTTTTTAATATCCCAGTCTAAAATGTCTGTTAGGCTCATCACTTACGCCCAGTGTTTGAAACAAAGTTGAAAATTTAACAACCCAGTTTAATCATAAATTACCGTTATTGTAAATGTTTATTTTTTTATACAACATTTATCATAAAACCTCAAATGACAGGAGAAGATACAGTTTCAGTAACGCTATGAGATTAAAGTGACATTTTCTAACAGAGATTA